CTCGAGGCCACAGGTTCCCACCCCTGGTCCAGACTCCAGACAACATCTAACCATGTAGCTGCATGTATAGCTCACGGAGCTGGTCTATCAGTTAATGTAGCTTAGACAGATAATGGAGATCCACAGTGAACGAGACCCAAACCAGACAAGGAGTATGGTCTGCCCTTGGGAAGATTTGCCTTTGGGAAACTTTGCAGTGCTTTGAATGACCTCCAGTGTCTCCCTGAAACAAAGGCCCATGTATTTACCATCTTATTCTTTGGGTGATATTGTGTAGCTGCAAATCATGGAATTCCAAAGTCTCCAAAGAATTGAAGTTGTTAGTCACCCAAAGGGCAACGGAGGGGTGGATGGTGGGCGTAAGTATGCTGCAGTATTATCACCAAAGAATTGCACTTCAGAATCATCAAAAATATCATCAAAGTGATGTATGGCCAGAAACAGAGGTAGGATGGTTGGACAGTTAGAGTGAACTTGGGTAGGAAAAAAAAATTACATTTTTATTTTAATATAATTGGATTCTTTTCCATCCCTTGTATATTTTATACATTTTAAAACCTTTATCTGAAAAGGGGTTTTGGGGAAGGTAGGTGGCACAGTGAATAGAGCACCAGCCCTGAAGTCAGGAGAACCTGAGTTCAAATCTGGCCTCAGACCAAACACTTGACACTTACTAGCTATGTGACCCTGGGCAAGTCACTTAACCCCAGTTGCCCCCCAAAAGGGGGGGTTTACTAGAATCCCAAAGGGCCCACATCACAAAAAGATTAATGATACCTGACCTAGAGGAAGACCGGAACTTTGGGTGGATCCCCTGTGGAAAGGAAGGAATAAGTAAATACTTATTTACTGGCACCTTCTATATGCCATGCATGGTGCTAAGTGCTTTACAAAGATTATGCCGTTTTAGCCTCATAACAACCCTGGCATCTAGGTACTAACATTATCCCCGTTTTACAGTTGAGGCAGACAGAGATTAAGTGACTGGCCCAGGGTCACACAGTTAAGTGTCTGAGGCCAGATTTGAACTGGTCTTCCCATCTACTCTACCTGCCTGAAGATATGTGGGAAGACATGGAGAAGAGTAGCAATGGATGAGGAGGTGTGGGATGGCTGTGATCTGCATCACTGAAGGTAATATTCACAGTGATGATGTCACAGATCCATTGGAGCTTAATCATTGACAAGTAGACCCTAGATTGCCTCTTAAGGAGTTTTAAAACATGAGCCAAAAACTAAATCCTGGGTGCTCATTTTAAGTGAAAAAAGAGGACAACATGAAAGAACCTGACCAAAATAGACTGTGAATTACAATCAAGCAACCCGTTCTTTCCATTGATTTTCACAGCATTGGTTCTTATTTTTAAATTGTATCTGTTTTTATTGGTGCATTTGGTTTTCACATAACCTTATTTCTGGTCACACTTCCTTCTTCTACCATCCTTCATCACAAAGATTTTAAAAGAAATGATAAAGAAACTGTTTAACAAAACTTGTCGATCAATACATGTAATAGCCCATCTCCATAACCCACTAGTTCAGCAGTGGAGGGAGGGAGGCACCTTGTCTCAACTTTTCTCCAAGGCTAAGTGTGTTTGTTAGTCATACACATACTTCCATTTACCTTGTTCTAGTCATTGTGTATATCATTTCTTGATTCTGTTTTCACTTCATTCAATATCAGTTCTTATACTTCTTTCTGTGTTTCTCTGAATACTTCATATATGTCATTTCATATGGCATGTTAATATTCCATTCCATAGTCCAAAATATTCCACTTAATGTACAACTAAAATTCATGTGCTCATGAATTACCATCTATTTTGTTTGCAGGTCTTCACTACCACAAAATGTGCTGCTATATTTTGGTGCTTATGAGATTTTTTTTTTCTTTCTTAGGATATATGACTAACATATATATGGGATCTCTGGGTTAAAGGGTATAGATATTTCAGTACATTTTTTAGTATAATTTCAAATTGCTTTCCAGAATGGTTGTACCAATTTGCAGCTCCACTGATTGAGTATTAGTGTTTGTTTTCCTGCAGCCTCCCCGAGATTGACTATTTTTACTTTTTTCCATCTTTGCCAATTTTGAAGTATATCTTGTTTGTGCTCTGTCTCTCTCCCTTCTTCTTCTTCTTCTTCTTCTTCTTCTTCTTCTTCTTCTTCTTCTCTCTCTCTCTCTTTCTCTCTCTCCTCTCTCTGTCTCTCTCCCTCTCTCTCTGTCATATTCTGTCTTAGACATTGAGAAGATAGACCAACATCCACTGGAGTAGACCTGCATCCTGAATATGAGTTGGAGTGGTAGAAGCAATATACTGACTTCTTGCCCCCATGCATGCAAGTTAGACTAGTTTTTCCTTAATTTATATTGAGACTATCCTTGAGGCTTAATTGGCTCCAGAGACTAAAGGCTTGGACTGTTGACATCACTTTCTGGTTTCTTAAATATAATACAACCATAATGCTTGGCTGGCAGACCACTATGGGTAACTCAGAGGCAGGAGAGCTTTGCTCAGGTGAATCGATAGGGGTGTCCTCAATTAAATGTCCTTCCCCAACTTTGGCTGAGGAAGTCTTTTGTTAACTGTTAAATGAATCATAAGTATATCATTCCATTCCAATATTGAACATAAACTACCAGAAATCTGACCTGAGCTAAGCCCAGCTCAGAACAATTCACTTAGATAGGAATGGAATGGAATGATCTATTTGAAAAGAGTGGTAGATGATACAGAGGAAGATGGGCCTGGATTGGCCTCCATGTTTTTGGTGATATTTTTAGAGATGGAGATTGCTTACCACACAGTATCACTCAACCCAGAAATTAGAGAGAAAATTATTTATGGCCATTGAACAAGGAGAGACCAATGTGAATATGATCAGTGTTATTAAGAACTGTACCCCAAAGAAAACTGCAGTAAACTGGTGGGATTGAAGGGAGACAGAAAAGGGAATAAGCATTTATTAAGTGCCAACTATATTCTACACACTGTGCTAGGTGCTTTACAAATATAATCACATTTGAGCCTCACAACAATCTTGTGATGTAGGTGCTTTTATGTTCCCCTTTCTACAGTTGAGGAAATTGACGCAGACAGGTTAAGTGACTTGCCCAGAGTCACACAGCTGGTAAGTCTGGGAGGCTGGTTTTGAACTCAGGTCTTCCTTACTGCAGACCCAGCTCTCTATCCACAGCACCACATAGCTGCCTCTGAATGTGTATAATTTCATACATTTGGGGGTTGATAGTGCTTTGTAGATCCATCAGCTGATTTTACTTTTCCTCCTGGGCTTCTTACCTAAAACTTCTTTCATCCTTGTGATCAGGGTTGACCAGTAATATCCCTAAAGTCATTCAACTGATGGATGAGCCTCTGGAAAACCTCAAGGACCATCCCACCAAAGGATGTGTTCCCAGTAGAGAAGACGTGAGAAACTTGTACCCATTTGCAGGCTCTTTGCCTGGGGAAGTGGAATGACTCTTTGGGGCCATGAGCATGTGGGAGTTCCATCTGCTCATCCACATCTTCTGGTCACTGGTGAAGGACTGAAGTTCTTATGAGTGGACTTTCTCAATCCACAATCAGTCAATCCATAGGCATTGAGAATGCCTATGGAAATACATGGCAAAAAGAAGCATGTGTGAGGCAGCTCCGCTCAAGTTTTAGAGTTTAGGCATCACCCTTCCAGAGGGGAATTCCCTCAATAGTAGGCTGTTTGAAGAAGGGTGAGGTGGTACTAAGGTGACTGTGGCAGCCAATCTGTCTTCTCAAAGTCCTGGAGAGAGTGCGTGGATCACCATTGTGCCCCTGGTAGCTGAAAGACTACTTTCTTAAATGTGTTTGGGGGTTGATGGTGCTTTGTAGATCTATCAGCTGGTTGGCCTACACTTGGGCCTAGGTCTGGGAGGTTTGGGGAGGTAATAGAGCTGGACCTTGCTACCCCTTCCTTTCTATTACTATGAATTAAATGTCAGGTCTCGTGAGAATGTCCCCGTTCAGCAGCCCTGAAGTTCATTTTTGTTCTGGGAGGAGTCTAAGCTTCAGAGGGATACCCTCAGTCTTTCATGACTTGCATTGAACTCTATTAGAAAGAAGGATTCCTCAGGATATCAAAGGGTTGTTTTAATAACAACCACAAGTTCTGTTTCTTTCAGGAGTGCTTTATGTTTTTTTCTGTATTTGTTCATAAGCTGGTGTGAGCCTTTGTATTTTATGCATTTTCTGCGAAATAAAATATGTTCTCATGCCCTGCATGCATTGTTCAAGAGCCAGGGTCCCTGTTGTCCAAACTTGGGGAAATATAGACGTGAGCTGTACCATGAAAATTTATTTTAGAAGATTTTCCTGGAGTAATGCTAGCTGAGTCAATGATCCAAAAAGTGAAACGACTTCTGGGGTCAACTTCCAAACTGAATCTAGTCTGTGTGGGCCCATATCCTTGGGATGAGGCTGGGGCTAGACTTTAGGTTATATCTGCAATATGTCAAAATGACCTTACCCTCAGAGAGGGAGGAAAAAGAAGCAAGAAAGAGAAAGAAGTAAAGGCAGACTCCTATCTTAGCATAAGTCCTTGGGGCTTGACTTAAGCAGCACCCCATTCTGTATTACAGCCCTGAAGGAGACCGAGAAGATTTCTGTTGTCCTTGGGGGCCAATTTTTGTAAGATTATATTTAGAAGGTAATGATTTGAGGACACTGAAGAATATAGAGCTAAATGCAATCCAGCTTGGCTATAGCTTATGTATCTATCTCCTTTCTTTCTATCTATCTGTCCACCTATCTATCTATCTGTCTAGCCATCCATCCGTCTATCTATCTATCTTCTATCTATCTATCTATCTATCTATCCATCTATCTATCTATCTATCTCCAGTAACTGATTTTTATTAAAGTGGGCAACTTACAGCACCTGCTGAAATATGCTGTAGGGGCAAAGAAGACCTTGGAATATCCATTTATAATGATTCATATTTTTGGCATTTATTTCCTCAGGGTACCATTTTGCTTCCTGGGAACAAGGTTATAGAACATCCGTACAGTGAAGAGAGCCCAGGACAGTTCCTTTTTGAAGTAGTTCCAGGTAGGTACCTTTTATTAAATTATCCCCAGTTATGTTGGCAAAGATCACAGATGTTCAGCTCAAATAGAGGCTTTGGATGATTAATGGTTTCATTTTAAAAGGAAAAAGGGGTGGAAATAAGGAGAGCCTGGTTTGTGCTTTGATACACATACTTTTTAAAGAAAGAGGAAGAAGATGAACACAAAAATTCTGGTTGCTCTTTTGTAAGCAGAGCTGATGCCTGTGTTGTAGGCAGGGCATTGTGTTTAGCTTCAATCTTTGGGGAAGATTGAAAACATCTATTATTTTGGCATTGCTGGTGAGAAGTGAACTTTGATAAGGTAGTTGACACAGGCTCTGGGGAACAAGCTTACCATACTATTTGCTGCTGTGTATCATGTCCCAGAAGAGACTTTCCTAGAGTAAGCTCACTATACGCTGCTCCTGTTGTATGTTTCAACTCTACTCTCAAAGCCCATGTTTCCTGTGTTTGGATTAGTTCAGTTCAGGAAGTTCTTTCCAGTTCCTCAGATTCTGTGCTTAATTCTTTTGACAGCCATGCATCCTTCTAGTTGTCTCTGCCATCACTCACCATATACTTGATTTCCATTTAAATCACTATCTAAACATCTTCATTCATTTCAAATAAGCCACTCCAGTTATACAAAGAAAAAGGTAAGGATATGAATGTTGGAGGCCTGGGTTTAGATGTTCTAGGTCAGTGACTTCAAACTCAAATGGAAACAGATCCCTGCCTTGGTATATTGACTTAGAAAACCACAAATTAACATTATCTGTGTTGTATTGTATTTTTATTTATTTTATTATACACCTCTGTTGTAGGTTATCTGATGTTTATATTTACTATGAACTTCAGTTGATTTAAATGAATAATAAACTATCATCTATGGATATTAATAGCTCACATTTCCTTGAAATAACCTGTAAGACTGAGGTTCACAGAAGTTAAATGATCTGCCTATGGTCATAGAGACAGTAAAGAGCAAAGCTTAGATGTGAACCTCTCAGATGTTTTAACCACAAGTCTATAGTGATCTTCACTAAACCACATGGAGTGGTGCTAAATTCACAGAATAGTGAAATTACAGAAACGTGGCATTTCAGAGTTTTCAGGGACTCAGTGATTGTCTAGTCCAACCTATACCTGAAAAAGAATCTCCATTATATTACTTCCTAAAAAGGGACCTCTGTCTTTCACCTGAAAACTTCCAATAATGTAGATTCTATTACTTCCCAAGGCAACTGGTTTATTTCTGCATGCTTTTAATTCTTAGGAAGTTTTTTCCCTTTGATCAAATTTAATTTTCTTCCTTGCAATTTCCAACCATTGTGCCTGATTCTCTCTATTCTAAACAAATAAGTCTAACACCTCTTCCATACTCTTCAAATATTTGAGTGTTCTTTAAATATTTGTACACAGCCCCTGTGTCCCTCAAACCTTCTCTTCCCTAGGTTAAATGTTTCCATTTGCTTGACCCATGGCCTTGCAGAATCCTGACTGCCTTTCTCTGGATCAGTGTCCTTCCTAAATGGTGGCACTCAGAAATGAACACAATATTCTCAAGGACAGAGGAAATGGAACCATCACTTTCTTATTTCTAGATCCTAGGCCTCTCATAATGTATTCCCAAACTCTTGTGGGTGCTACATCATACAGTTGACTCAAGTAGAGCCAAAGATTTTCAGAATTTCTGGTCTAGAGAGATTGCAGTTATTTGAAAAGCACCTGAGAGGTTCAGAGAACTACAACCTCAATGTGAATCAGCAGTGTGATGGGGCAACTCAAAATCTGACATGATTTTGGGATGCCCTGCCTTAGGAGATGGTGGCTATCCTTCTGTAGAGGCCTTCAAGCAGATGCTGACTGACCACTTGTCGAGTACATGATAATGGGAACTCCTTCTATGTATGGAATACCTAAGTGGCCAGTCAAGTGCTTTCCAACTCTCAGATTCTATGATTATTGCTTTTTCTTAATTATCAGGAACTATTTTTACTGCCTGGTGGTTTTCTTTCTCCTGATATGCTCCTTTTTCTATAAAATGACCTTTCTTCTTCTTTCAGCTCTCCCTCCATTCTCTAATGTATTGGTTGTTTAACCCTTCCTTACCCCATACACATGCTCTACCCCTGACCTCTTGATCATTCAAGAGAGACTAAAAATTAAGGCCTGCTGCAGAACAAGAATGGTGCAAAGAAACCCTTCCAAGAAGCAGTAGCCACAACTGACATTGCTTTAAAAATTTCTTAACCATTTTCCTAGCTTGCTCAGTAGAAATTTTCTTCCTAAGTATCTGGTGAAATACAGGCAGGTAAACACAGACAGACCAGAGATACTTATCACCATACCCCTAAAGAACAATAGGAAAGACCAGATTCTGTGCTCTCTCCCTGACAGATAACTTTTCCTAAATATGCGGTTCTAATTTTAAGAATATTAGCATAATTCTTTGGTATTATTATTAATTATGAATGGAATAGGGAGGCTACATGATCTGTTCTCAAGAAATGTTAGTTACAGAAGGAAATAAGCTCCCACCAACTTCCAGTGCACTTGAAAAGAATATATCCTGTATATGTGTGTGTGTATATAAAATATACGCACATGCATATACACATGTACACACACATATACATATGTACACATACATATACATATGTACACACAATATACATATATACATATACATATACGTATTTGTGTCTAATGGTAGCCATCCTGTTGGGGAGGGAAGGAAAGAAAAGAAATTAATATGATAATTTTGTTGTATATTTGAAAGGAATAGCAAGTTGTGCATAGTAGATTTGCAGTTTCATGTGCAATCATCTTTTTTAATTGTACAGTGTTATGGGAAAAAAGCAACTATGAGGGACATATGATGAAAGGCATTATCTGCATTGAGAGAAAGAACTGATAAACAGAAGTATGTATAGAATAATTTTACATATATATATACCTATTTGTGTCCAGTGGTAGCTATCTCTAGTGGGGAGAAGAAAAACAAAAGAAATTTCCATTATAATTTTGTTGTATATTGATAGTAGAGTTGAAATTTCATGTACAATCAGCTTTTTTTATTATACTGTATTATAGAAATGCTTGTTTTATTTCATAAATTAAAAAGAAAATTTAAAAAAGAAAATAATATATCCTTCTACTAGATTTTGTACCTCCTTTTCCATTTGGCCCATTTTTCTTCTGCTTAGTGAGTTTCTGTGTCTCCTTTTCTGTTTGACCAATTCTGCTTTTTAAGGTCTTGTTTTTTACAGTTAATTTTTGTCCTTCCTTTTCCAAGCTATTGACTCTCTCCTGCATACCTCTCATTTCTTTCCCAGTTTTTCTTCTTCCTCTCTTATTTGACTTTTTAAATCCTTCTTGAGCTCTTCCAAGAAGGCTTTTTGGGCTTCAGACCAGTTCATATTCCCTTTTGAGGTTCCAGATGTGGGTTTGTTGACAATGTTGTCCTCTTCAGAATTTCTGCCTTGATCTTCACTCTTTCCATAATAAGAATCTATCATACGTTTCTTTTTGCTCATGGTGTTTGCTTATTTCCTGGCCCTTAAAGAGACTGGGCTCTCCTGCTGGGGAGCAGAGGGCACTGACCCAAGCTTCTTGTGTTGGGAGCCTAGGGCCTGGTCATTGGCTTTGTGTGCTGGGGCCTCTTATGTTGGCAATTGGAGGCTGTAGGATTCTGGCAGCTTCCCTGGTGTTGGGCTGGAATCAGCAACACTGGAACTCTAGGGGTCGGATTGGGTAGTCTGGCCCCTGGAGGTTGCCTGCTCACCCAGGCCTTTCCTTTCACTTTCTTGGGCTCCTTTCAGATGCATGTTTTGCTGCTGCAGGATGTTTTTCTGCCTGGGGCTTTCCCCCTTGGAGCTGCACTTCCCAGAGTTTTGCTGAGGCACTGGGACACTTAGCTGCTGTAGAACACTGTGGCACATGGTGGTTTTCCGAGCCAGTGTCACTGGTTCCACATCCTCAGTCCTCACTGATGCACTCAGGGGTCCTGGTGTTGGTGCTTGCCTGCTCTACCACCTGGAGTTCAGGATCTCTCCCTGGTAGGCTGAGGTGGGGCTGTCTACTAGCTTGCTGTGACGCCTCCTGTTCAGTACTGCTCCCCCTCCCTCAGGGCAAGAGAGGCCTTTCCCGTTAATCCCTCAAGCTACTTGGTCTACTGGACTGCTGCACCCCATCTTTCTGCTGGTTTAGCTGTTTCAGTGTTTTTCCTGGGGCAATATTTTCTGGGCTTTCAGAGGTTAATAAGGGATGGTGAGAGCTACTTACTTCTTACTCTGCCATCTTGGCTTCCAGAAGTGGACCACGAAAATAATATATCCTATAAATTTGAGCCAGAAAGGACCTTAGAGATAGTCTGGTCCAACTTTATCATTTTACAGCTCACTTATCGTCTCTGTGCTTTTCTGCTCCGTAAATCAGGAATAATCATAACTTGCCTGCCTATATTATGAGGGTGTTATGACAATTAAGTATGGTTATGTGAGTAAAACCCTGAGTAAGTGATCAAACCCTGGATAGATGTTTGCTCTTTATATTACCTCTTGGTTTCTTAGAGTTTCCAAAGTAAATTGTGAAATTACCTTTCAATTCAGCTAGTGTATGTACCAAATGCTAATTAGTTGTGATAATATCATACTGCCATTGGAAAAGAGGAGTAATTCTAAAACTATACTTCTAAGAATTAAATTTTTTTAAATTGAAAGAAATTTTATGGGGGGAATATTTTTAGGTTTTTAAGAGCATCTAAATGGCAGAGGGTTGAAAAAAATATTCCAGTTATTTTAAAAAAGAGCAAATAGTAGTAAAAAATAAATAAACAAACTATGGTTTCTACAAATATGTTGAGTGGTTTTTTCCCCCATTCATCTACAAACCTAATTCTGTACAGAGAAGTATGTTTTCCTACTGTAAAGAACTCCTACTCACATTCTCTAAATGGCTTGCACATATTAGAAATCCAGAGTAAGCAAAAAAAAAAAAA